ACAAATGTTACTTTTTGTTTGTCGGTCATGGGCTTGAACTCTGGACCTGGGTGTTGTCCCTCAGCTCTTTAGCTCAAGACTAGTGCTCTACCACTTGAGCTACAGCACCACTTCTGGTTTTCTGGTGGTTTATTGGAGATAAGACTCTCATGGAATTTCCTGCCTGGACTGGCTTTTGATCATGATCCTCAGCCTCCTGAGTTGCTAGGATTACAGGTCTGAGCCACCAGTGCCCCGGCACAAATGATACTTTTTATGAATAGCCAGTAGGAGTCTAGCTCAACATTAATAGAAAAGATATTTCTGGTATGAATATAAGCACAAAGATATGTAATAAGAAATGGGACACTCCAAAATATTTTGATATCTACCATTTATCTAATACTCAGGTTGAATCTAATCCATAGACGTGTAACTTGTACCTACTCAAAAACTGGTGGCACATAATATCTTCGAATTACAATGATAAAAGTACAACCTAGGTTTACCGGATGTAACAAGGAAAACTTACTTCGTGAAAGAGCAGCAACAAATTGTGCAACAAAAAGACAACCTAGAAAGGGTAACAGTGAAGCAAACCTGAGTTTAAAATAGGATTAATTATCATTCGAAGAAGAAAATTTTAGCCTTGATTCTATGTATAAATTCAGCACACCTCTCATTAGAAATGAAGGCCTTTAATTGAGACAATGTATTCTTCCTGGGTGCCTCAATTTTCATGTGAACATGACAATCTTAGCTCCAAGTTCAGCTAATTATTAAAGCACATAGCACTATTTTTAGCTATATTATCTACAGGCAATTCTCAGGGAGACTAATATTAAACTTAGTGCAGTTGGTTTTCCTGGGAAATATGTCATCCATTCAGTCAAGGCAAGAATATGGAATTAATTTTGATGATTATGAAATGTAAATGTTATAACTGGATTGTACAATCTTAAATCCTCTCCACCTCCATCTTCTTCATATGCAGCTGTGTGAAAACCCAGTGGTATTTCTTACAAAGTTCACTGTGAGATATACTGCATCATGGCTTAGAATATAGCAGCCTTACACACTATGCAAAGTCTTTTACTTTTAAAGCTCCTAACAAAAGACTCTGTACCATAAGCAAAAATTTCACTTTTACTGGAAAGACCCTCTGACTCCTAACAAAAACAATATAGCTACATTCTATTATAAAAATAGAAAATTTCACATCTTTAAGGTTTGAATCTCATACTAGCCTCACAAACTTCTCTGAATCTCTTTATTAACATATTATGTACCATTTTACTGCTACTTGATTTTATTTTATCTTCTCTTATTGCCTATTGTATGAGCCACCTGAATTTTTTCTAGAACAAAGATATTAAAAAAAGTATTGGTGGAATGAACATGGGGATTTCTAGTGGCTTGTATTACCTTAAAAGTTTCAACTGTGGGGGCTGGGAAGGTGGCTCAGTGGTAGACTGCTTGCCTTGCATGCCTGAGGCCCTAGGTTCGATTCCTCAGCACCACATAAGCAAAAAGAAAAAAGCCAGAAGTGGCACTGTGGCTCAAATGGTAGAGCACTAGCCTTGAGCTGAAGAGCTGAGGGACAGCACCCAGGCCCAGAGTTTAGGCCCCATGACTGGATCCCCCCCCCCCAAAAAAAGTTTCCACTGTGCTCTTCTCAATTGTGTTCAGTTGCCTTACATTTGAAGCTTAATTTGGCTATGATAGGGATAATTACTACATGAAATCAGTAAACATTGCACGTTAGAATTTTATCATTTTTCTCTTGTGAAGAATCAGTTACTAGAAAACTCTTGAGTATATACATATGTACATGCCAAAAACATTGTGGGTACTAGCCACTTTCCAGCATGTCTCTGATGCTCTCTTAATTATCACTGAGGTAGGTCAATTTTCAATGGAAAACAGATAGTAAAATAATGTGACTTTAGTGAAGTTACACAAATTATACTGAAACAGGCCAGCGTTCAATTTTCTGTGAAATCCTTCCAAGACCTATAAGTATAATTATTTCCTATAGTCTAAAATCATGAATCACAGCTATACAAATTAATCAAATATAGAACTTTACAAACATGTCAAGTAACATCTCAGTGCTTCGATGATAGCCTATTGTACATCACAATACCTGGAAAATACTAATGTAAATTTTACATATACAAATGGAAATTCAGAAGGTTAGATGAGAAAGAAAAATTGAAGAAAAATTGAAAAATTGAAGAACATCTTTAATAAGAGCATGAGGAAATTCTATCTCGTTGAAGTTTTCAACGCTCTTTCAGAAACCATGGAATAGTAAAAATCCTCATCCGATCTGTGACTCCTCCCGAAGGAAGAAGATGATGAGAAATGAGGCCGAGATCAGACTGCCCACCAGGGCTGGACTGGCTTCCATGCTGTGCCATTGGGAGCTTTGCCCACAGATGGAGCCAGAGGGCTTCAGACAAGTCTACAGTGAAATGACTTTAGCAATAAGGTGAGCTAATATTAACATTCAACCCCTCCCAAGCAAGCCATTGATAACATCGATGTCATCACAGTAACACTAAAGGAGAGATTACCATCAGCAAAAATTAGATTGAACCATAACAGCAAAAAAATAAAAAAGCAAGCAAACAAACAAACAACATAAAAACATGTACCCAGAGGTACCAGCAGGGCTGTATTTCCTCTGTTATAGTGTCACTTTCTCAGGGTTATCTACAACCTAAATACATCCTCATCACTTGGGAGCTCGTTAAATCTACACATTCTCAATCATGCTGCACCCAAAGGATTTATTGAATCAGATATTATTTTACACTTGAGGTTCCTTGAGCGCAGTCCAAACTTGTTCAATATAAGAAAATAAATCACCACAGACAGATAAATCCAGGCATCCTTTCTGTTGTTTCTATTTTTAATTTTTTCTATTACATCCTTTTATATTACAACACATTGATACATTGGTGACTCCCTTTTCCGTCTCTACTTGCTTTTGTGTTCCTGTGATTGATTTTGCTTCATCTTTGTATCAATCATAACTTCAACATGCAAGTAGATGTAAGTATTGATGAGTCCAACTGAGTCATAAATGTGTAATTCCTTTTCCTTTCTAATTCTTTCCACCAGGATCCAGTATATTTCTCTTCATTCCCTATACATATCTTTATTCTGTCTTTTGATTGGTAAGCTTCAATCTCCAGGTTAAATTTAAATTTTATCTCATATTCAAATTTTAACCTATTCTTCCTCTTCCTTCTGTGCCTGTCTGATCCTCCTACTCTTCATCTTCTCTTTAGAATTAATCTCTAACTGGGTAACTGTGATTTATTCCTGTAATTATACCTACTCAGGAGAGAGTGGGATTTGGAGGATTGTGGTTTAAGATTAGCCTTAGACAAAGTGTACTAGATTTGGTCTCAAAATAACCAGCAAAATACAGGGATTCAGGCATGGCTAAAGTTGTGGAACATAGCTTAGCAAACACCAGGCCCCATATCCATACTCCAGTACTAGGAGAAAAAGAAAAAGAAGGAGATTCATGCAAATAAATATGGGTAGGCCCTATCTAGAACAATAAGCAGTGATAACAACTACAGTAAAATTGGACATGTATCTTCCAAATATTTTCAAACAGGACTTTTTAAAGCAGAACATGAGCTGAAGTTTTTTGTTTGATCAGTGGGCTATAAGGGTTTGTGTTTGATTTTCTTTCCATCCATGTGAAGAATAATCTGAGAGAAACAACTTACAAGAGGAATGATTGATTTGGGCTCATGATTTTAGAGGTTTCAATCCAAAATTGACTTTCCACTGCTTTGGATGAGAGGTGAGGCAATGGAAGCAAGTATCAGAGGCTGCTTTCTTCATGGGAGCAGAGAGAATAACAGGACAGGGCCAGGACCAACACATAACTTTCAAAAGCACATCCCCAGGTACCTGTGTCCACTAATAAGTCCCATCTTCCTCACTTCTGCAGTTTTCCCAGCAGTCTACTCACATTCCTTTAATAGGCTAAACATTGCCTACAACAGCACATTTATCTTCGATGCTTTTCTGGAAAAATCCTGACACACTCAACATTGCACTTTACTAACCTAGGCATCTCGGCACAATTTAGCTAACAACAGAAATTCAAGTTTGCAGGTTTGAAAAACATTGTTAAAGAAGGAGACTCAAGTGTTAATAGAAGCTAGCAAGAATGACCCTTAGGGGTTAAATGGGCTTCATTGATAGCATAAGCCTAAACCTTTTTCTTAATCCACAAGTGTTCATAGAAACAATTATAAGCCAGGTATTGTGCTAAGCTTCAAATATGACATTCAAAAAGTCATCCTGAGAAATAAAATTAATAGTGTCTTGAATTAAATCAGAAGCAAACTTAAGACAAAGATAGTTTTTGAAATATGTTTAGAATGTAAGCACACACACAAAAAAAAGTGGTTCGCCCAAAACTGTCATAACTAAGGGAAGCAGATAAATGGGAGTTTTTACGAGAGCAGGAACTGGGAGAAAATCTTGAGAACAACTTTCTGTGCCAATATATTGAAAAGAGAAGTAAAAAATAGAGTAATTAAAAATTTGATGTTGTCTGTAGACTACTATCAAACAGGCAAGTGCTCTCAGTTATTGGTCACCAAAACGATTTTTTTATGGATACTTTGTATGTGTAGTGGAGGGCTGGAGGCTGGGAGCCTGTGCTTCACGTAGCTCTATGAGCTTAGGTCAGGGTGGGATTGTGAAATCAAGGCCTTTAGTCTCTGGTCCCAGATAGTGAGGAGTGCTGTAGGACACTGCTGAGTTCAGCCCTTTGCTCCTCAAATAGTATATAGTTCTTTAGAAGGATTTAAGTCAAAGCCCAATGAGGTAAGTACCAGGAAACCAGTACTTGCCAGACTGGGAATCAGTCCAAGGCAAGAGGGTTAGAAGAATGAAGAGGGTGGGAGAGGTGGGAGATAGGGGTAAGAATACATTGTATATACCACAGAATTGAGAAAAATAAGGGAAGGGGTGGGTCAAAGGGGGGTGAAGATGTTGAAGGGATGATACAGATTGAGATGCATTGTATAGATAAACTGCTTTGTCAATGGGAAAAAATCAATACATAGCCTAAAAATTAAGAAAAGTGAGGTAAGGGATAGGTTGGGAGGGCTGGATGAGAATGTTGAAAGGGGTGACGTTCATCAAGATGCATTCATAAGATACTTTGTTGAATGGCAAAGACAGAGAAAATAAAAATATTTTATAACTGTTCTTCCATTAAAAAAAGACTGGTGAATGTAGTAGAGAAAGGTGAAATTAGGTATCACTAACACTGAAGGGCTATATCCATGATTCTGTTAATGAATTTAGTTTTCAAATAAGAGTCTCCATCATTCCATGTTGGCATGGAATGGATGCCCTAGTCACTTAGTTCCTCTGAGATTTAGATATGTGTTAATATCTCAAACTGCTTATACTTAATTCAGGTGTCCTCAATTATGAGTCATGGGCCAGACAAATAGGGTGTTCTGCGTGTGTTTTGTGGCTTTTAATATAATACTGAAGGTTTTTTTTTTCTCAAGTGAAGGGGAAAGTAGAGTCACAATTAGATGTCTGGAGAGTATATTAGATGTATTAGTATCATCTACCAAGTGATGAAGATACAACTGACAAAAAACGAACGGGTATTTAATTGATAAGAAGACAGAAGTATAGGCTGAGACATGAGAGTAAGGGCAGAGGAACTGAGTTCTAGAAACCTAAGGTAGGTCTTCCTGTATCCGTGATGTATACTTGAAAGATGAACAAAAATAATGTATTTCAGATATTTTTCAAAAACTTCTCAACACCTGGCTTACTTCATTTAATATAATTTTTTCCAAGTCTTTCCATTTCCTAATAAATGGGACAATGTCATTCTTTCTGATGGAGGCATAGGTCCCATGGGTTTCCTTATTTACAATAGCTAGTTTATATCTGAGACAAGCAGAAAAGGTCAGATAAGATGATGTTAGGTGAAATGAACCCCAAGATAAGGACACAAGCGGCTTTTCTTTCTTGCTATTGTTTCTAACGTATTTATGAGGTACCATGTATTTTTTGTTGTTGTTGCTTTGTATGTCCCTCCCTCATGGTATAACCCGTTTTTCACTGTATTTGATGTTGGTATAATTTGTGGAGGAGAAGGGAAAAAACAAATTGTTTAAATAGAGATACAGGTTAACCCATTGCAACAACAAGATGTACAAGACGCTAGGTCAAAAAATGAACTTTACAATTTAGGCGGTGGGGGTGGGGGTGGGAAGAGGAATATAGTTGTGGAGATGGTAGGGAAGGAGAGATGGTAGGGGAAAAACAAAGGAGGAGGCAACAATGCTTAATAAGAAATGTACTCATTACCTTGCTCATGTGATTGTAACCCCTCTGCACATTATTTTCACAATAAAAACTTATTAAATGTGAAAAAAATTATTAATTGCAACAACAAAATCAAGCCTGCTTGTGTGATTTGAATATACAGTAAGACAAATGACATTTAGCAAATGAACTTGAAAATCTTTTACAGGTTCAAGTTATGAATTGTTAAAGCATGAGGGAAATTTTTCCATACTACCCTTGCTCATAATGTGAATGGAACTCTAAGACTGTGGTGTAGTGTTCTGAGTATTCTCTGGTCAAGCATATAACTGATTAGATTAGATTGGTTTAATCAGACAATCATCACTTAGTGCCAATGTACATAATCAGGACCTTGACAATCTTATTAACTCAAAATCTTCCTCAGAAAGAAAATTCAGAGGCTTTATAAAAGTTGTGAGGAAATTAAATAGCTCTAAACAATTTGTATTAAGTACACTGTTGGCTATTCAAAAACTCTAAGTATATCTTCTAGTATATCTATTAAAAACAATGTAGACAGAGCTTGGAACTTCATTATCAAATATCAGCAAAAGCCTAATATAAATGTTGAAAATTTTATACTTTATTTTTCAATATTATCTTTCTTTAAAAATATCAAAGCATGCTTTATACATAATACATAAGCCAGTATGGAGATTTTCTGCACAATGAGTTTATTGGTGAAATAAATTCTGAAATATTATATATTTTCATATCCTGGTTCTCTTTCTGGAATATAACTTTATAATATTTTCCTGTAACATCAAAAGCTTAATTTCTGACCTACCTGATATATTAAAAATAATGTATTCCTTCCTTCTTTAATCCAACTTCCTGGAAAGAACAAATTGGAATGTTTTAATATATTAACTTTCTATTAAAATGCATACAGATTTCTCAGATGTGGGGAACCAATTTGACAGCCTTATGAACTTTATATCTATTAAAATGCCTCCTAGTTGACAAAATAGCTTTAGGAACCTCCAAATACTAGAATTGAAAAGCATCTGTCAATATATATTTTTTCCATATAAGTTATTTTTCTGTGGCAAGCTGCTTAGATCAAAGAAGAAACTTCCTATTTGAGTGAATTTACCATAGCATTATTTGAGTGATAAATAGAAAACCTTGAAAAGAATTTAGGAAGAGTTAGACTTTTATCTTTGGTCTACAACAAATGTTATTAATAAAATGGTAATATTCTCACTTCTTTATTTCCATCTTGGAGCAAGATATTTTAATCTAGTTCTGAAGCCATTATTTCCCTTTCAAATGCTTTCTATACATTGACATCCTGCTTGCTAAGTCTACCAAGATCATAATTATTAAAAGGTTGAGGTTATAATTTCTTTCATTCCACAGTTAAAAGTCTTGCACTTGAAACAGTAAGTGCACAGATGTTCACTTACAATGAGCTGGAAGATTTCTCCTAAAAAATAAGACAGAATCCCGTGGGCAGATCAAAGCTGACCTGAATTGCCCCCAACCTCGACAATCTGCTGCCATACAACCTGAGGATGAGGTGAAGAAGAATGGGGAAAAAAAGATAAAGCAGAAACCCTACTTCAGATATTTGAAATAGAGTTCAGATAAAGGACTCTAAATTTGATTATGTTAAGTGCTTTTTTTCCATGAATTTGGGTTGTAATGTATTACAATGTAGCTTGAGTTCAGGCAAATGTCACAGTGATTTAACAAAAGTGAGTTTGTATGCTTTTCCTCACTAGAGGACATAACATTTGGTTGATGCCCACATAAGTGACTTAACGTTAGATTTAAACCTTTGGATGATATCCACATTTTCACATGTTGTCTGTAGTAGGGTTCAGACTTCTATTAATTATTTTTTAATCACTCCTAAATTAAAGTATCTTTGAAAAAATTCCTTTTGTAGGATACCAGTTTGTTGAATGAATATATATATATATATATATATATATATATATATATTTAAAGATGGATTTAAAATTAGTTAGACAAATCTCTGGGTTCTCAACTGTATTTTGCCTAAATACATATGCCTAGCATTTCAATTTCTGTGCAGGATATGATTAAACTCTTTCCCTTGGAAAATTTGATATCTATGTATATATGTATGCACATATGTGCAAATACATTTGTACGTGCATTTATACATTCATGTGTGAACACATATACCTATATGTGTGCATGTATGCATATACAAAGATATGCATGCATGTATATTCATGTATATGTATGTATATATGTTATAGATTCATATACATATATGTATATATATGTATATATGAGAATCTGCAGCGAGGAAGTTGAGAAAGGCAAGATTCACAGCATCAGAGCATTCCCACCTAGAATACTATGTGAAAAGGTCCACATCAATTTACTATTTATACCCTCCTCTTTAATGAACATTTTATTTAATCAAGATCTTCCACAAAAATGACCAGGACTTGTGTTTACAGTTGTCTAAAGAATGTGAAAGATGTTGATGTTGGCTATAGTGACAAGATAGGATCAATTGGTGCTGAGGCAAAACAATTGATAGTGTTAAGAAAACGTGATGAGCAAGTCATGAGGTGGGAAGCTCCTACCTTATATTGATGCATAGTCAGACTCTGCAAAACCATGTGCTTCCAATCAAGTAAACATCGCCACAGGCATTTTCTCACTTTGCAATGCTTAAAAATGAACAATATTATTTGGTAAATGCAATACAAGTGCTTCCATAACTGTTATAAAATAAATTTTGTAGGTAAAGAACATCAAAAAATATGAATTGCAGTGATAAAATTTGAAATTCTAAGGACTGTCAAATCCACTAAGATCCAGGTGGAGTTTTGGGTAGCATGAATGTGTTACGGATTGTAATGAAACATCAGGACATGAAGCCTTGAGATGTCATTGAACCAATCCATCCCCTACTGAATTCTACTCCTGTAAAAACCTAGGTATTTCACTGATTTCTTTTAAAATTTTTATAATAGAGTGTCTATGTAGCTATGTTCACAGGCAGCTATCTAGGGCCATTAGTTTGTTACAAACTTCTTTTTCACATTCCTCTGGGTACACTTCCCAACAGAAACATGGCCAGAGGCAGAAATAACCAACCAGTGGTCATTATATCCTGAGATCAGCAATAGAAAGTCTAGAAATACTGGAAGCCAAGGGAGCAATAGGAGTTATAGTCATCTGTGCCCTGTCTGTTGGTACAAGCATTTCAAACTGCTCCAAATTGAACAAAAGCACCTTTTTTCATACTGCTTGCTAGACCAATAGTGTATACAAATTATTTTCTTCTTTTCCCAGGTTAAAAAAATCTAATAAGCAATAAAGTTATAACAAATTTGCTTACATTCTCTTTGCATCCTACTGAAAAATCATAGAAGATTCAATAGTATGTACAGAGATGAGATAGATGAAAGTCTTTTATTTTAATTGACTGGAAGCATGGTCAAAAACAGATAACAATTTTAAAGGAAATAAATATAAGCAGAAGAATGCAATTTAAATCCTACGAAAACAGTCTGCCTTTGAAATAAGGGAGAAATTACTATTGTACTTCAGAATAGAGTATCTGTGATGTGATCTCTGGATAGGCACCTGAAAGAAACAGAAAGAGGAGAAGCAAGATTATATTAAAGGACAGTCAAAGCAGAGTTCCTATGGGAGATAGAGAGGTCCATACTTTATATCTTTGTGTATTGCAATGCTCCTGGTTTCATATGGTTTCAAAATC